AACGTCTTTTGAATGCATATCTCAGCTGATAAGAAATGACTGTATCAAGGAGGGAAAAAAAGCATTCAAGTATTACTGGTATTTAAGGTACTGCTATGAATACTCTTTGCTTAGGCTATAAGTACAGGGAGACATGTCAAACTAAGAATTCATGAAAATACATTACTCATAAATAAATGTCCTTTATGATTTATATGCTAGTGACAGTATGTGTTTTCTAAAGAGAATAGAAAGAGGGCTATTTCCAGGCTGGGAAGATGAGCAGAATGGCCAGATTCTGCTAAGGTGTGTTATCTGGTTTGGGGTTGAAACTAGGGTGTGGCTAGTTCAAAATTGTGGCTGTTGTTCAAAATAAGATGTGAGCTGATTGGATTTGGCCTCGTATTTTAAAAGGCTTTGGGACACTGGTCTGGGGCTATTTCCAGGCTGGGAAGGTGGGAAGGTAGCCTGTAGCCCTCTGGCCTGCTTTTTGTGGATCTCCCGAATAAAACAGGCTTAGAAGCAGAAGTGGCATCCACTCCAAAAAATGTTTGCCTCTGGGAACTATATGAACTTGGAAAAAAGATAGTCTTGTATTCAAGACTTTTGTTTATAGGGTTGCACTGGGTCATCTACGACTTGACAGACTTAACAACGACAATATAGAAAGAATATAAACAAGTGTTACAATTATGGGCATTCAGGGGTTTTTTGGCAACGTCAATTCCCCTTTCACCTGAGTATATGGGACCATTAAAATTGTAGCTCAAATGCCTTTATCATCTTTTCTCCTCTATTTCTCTTCTTCTACTTTTCAAAATAGTAAATATATGATGATATATATTTCACAGAAGAAAATAAAAAATTAAATACTTTCCCCTCTGCACCCACTATTTTTTCCCTATCTTAAACCCTACAAACAAAAATACCATTATCTTTCTAACATCATATTAATTCAACACTAATCAGAATGAAGAATATTAAATAATAGAAGCACAAGCCCTGATAGTCCATTAAGCTGATAACACACCAACAGCTCCCTGGGAGAATGATGTGGTAGCCTGCTCCCTAAAAGGCAATTTTATTCTGTCCTATTGTGTTACTAAGAGTTAGAATCAACATGACAGCAACTAATATATAATAGAGTTTTATTCCCTCTTTTCTGAGCTATGAACTTGGTTATGAAGGTAAACTTTTCCAACTGACAGTACCCTACTCTCACCTCAAGAAATATGTTCCCTAACTCAGTCCCACAAGGACAAATACTGTATAAAAACCATGTGGGGATGAGGCAGTAGGATGTTAATCATAGGGTTACACAATTTGATGGGTGGATGAGGTGAAGGAAATGGGAAAAATCTTTTGTGAAAACTAATATATTCAAACGTTGTAAATAAATCAGAGTAATATTAAAAAAAATTAAACACTTAAAAATTTTTTTAAAATATTAAAACCAAGGCGGGAAAGAAACATGTTGAAACATGTTCCAAATACTGGTCTATGTGATTGCTACCATATATTCATATTTATACACAGAATGTGCTACTTGTTTGAACCACACATCAGTCATAGGACCACTCAAAGAACAAACAGGACTTTGTAACAAAATGTTTTAACATTGAGACCTAAGAGTGACCAGGATTGGGCTCCTTGCATCATGGACTTCATTCTATCTCTGAAAACTAGCTTAAAAGCCTATTTTTTGTAATCTTTAATGGGTCCTTGAAAATGTTTTCATTTAACAAGTAGTCATACTGGAGTAGGGTAGATCTTATTCAAATATAATCGGCATCTTTATAAAAGAGAAAAAAAAACAGAGAACGGAAAGTCTCTGGACACACAAATGGAAAGTGGCCTTGTCAAGAAGGAGGCAAAGATGGATTCATGCTACAGATGCAGGTCAGAGAGCATCTAAGATCATGTCTATCCCCAGAAGCTGAGAGGGAAATATGGGACAGATTTCCTCAGAGTCCATTAGGCATTTGCTTTGCAAACACCATGATTTTGGACTTCTAGCTGCCAGAACTCTAATTCAATAAATTTGTATCCTTGTAAGTCATTCAACGTGTGCTATTCTGTAATAGCTAAGACAAGAGGAATGGAGATTTTTCAAGTCATGGGTTCCCTGGAGTTGTATGATTCAAGGGGTTGAAAAAGAGACGATTAAGGTGGGAAATTTTCAATCTCCGTAATTCTGCTTTCAGTGGAACTAATTTAATTTCTTTTGCTTTCATAGGTTAAAGTTTTAAAAATAAAACAAAAGTTTAGAAAAACTATTCAAAGGGCATGTTGTTATCACCCAAATCAAACTCAGACTTTGTCTCTTAGTGTTATGCAGCTTTGCTGTATTGGGTTCCTGGATGCTTATAGATGATGCAGCCTAACAAGACGGAAGGGAGTCCTGGTGGTGTAGCCTAAAGGAAGTTGCTCAGTTAAGCCATCATAGGCCATGCTTCCCTGGCGTTCAAACCCAGTGGCTCCTGATAAGAAAGCCAGGCACTCTCTCCTCTTGGGCAATTTACATTCCGGGAAACTTAATGAATGAACAGATATGAGTCAGTTCTGACTTCATAGTACTGGGTTGTTTTTTGTTGTTAATAGGACAGAAGGTTAGCACAAGATAGAAAGACCTTCACTGAGATAGGTTCTACAGTGACTGCAACAGTCAGTGGTCTTGAGTATGATGGCAATGGTGAGGATGCAAGATGTCACTCACTATGTTTTTCTTAGGTCATTACAATTCACAAATACCCAGCTTTGAAGAAATACACCTACAGGTGAGTGTTTCAAGTTTTGAAGAAGTGAATTTTTACTTTTATTTAGTTCAGATATAAACCATGAAAAGACTCTTATGTTTTGCCTATACTATTATAATTAAAATCCTTGGATACCTTCTACAATCAATTTATGTAAGACAAATTGCGTGGTATAATCCATTTTGCCAAAGAAAAATGGAAAAACTTATCCATTTAAAGTACACTTATGTGTTCATGATAAAGGAATTGCTGAGTTTCTTAAAGGATAAACTTAATTTTGACTCACACAATTTTAACTGCCAGTGGCATTATATGTCAGAAAAGTGTATTAATTATTTTATTTCATTACATTTGCTATAGTGACATGTGAATACTTTAGTGTGTATTGACATATCTTGATGCTTACCTGGGTACTATAGTTCACAGACATCATCCATGCTGACCCAGACTCTCTGGCCACCTGCAAACTGATTAAAGTGGACTTCTTATGAGCCACAGCCAGTCGAGAACCCACAGAAAAATATACAAGACTTTGAGGTTCATCACTCTGTAAGACTTTGATCTGAGCAAATCTGGCACTGTTGTTTATTGCAGCTCCAGCAGTGACTTCATAAAGCTCCACAAAAAAATACATTTCAACTCGAGGAATCTAATAATGAGAAAAATGAGTACAGAAAAGACAATAATGTATTTCTATTTTTTAAATTACAATATCAATCAATTACATAATTCATCACAAAGATAAATATGCACTACAAATAAATTTTATAAAATTATAAAATTAAATTCATTTTTAGGTTACCAGGGGATTTGGTGGGTTTTTTTCATTCTTTACCTATGAAACATAACTGGTCTTTGAGTCAGCGTCTTACTAGAAAATCAACAACAAAAGACAGCCTATATGTACTTCAGTATGAAAAAAAGATGCAATGAAATATCACTTAATGTTTAATAGAAATGAACTAGGTAATTACTTCCCAACATAGATGAATTATAAAAACATGATGATGATTTTTTTAAAAAATCAAGTTGCATAATAATATATGCAGTTGTTGTTGTTGTTATTTATTTTTGAGTTGGAAGTGACTCATAGCTGACCCTCCAGTGGATTTTCTTAGGCAGTTTAAGCTCAAGGGGTGAGACTGCCCATCATTTGCACATGAAGCAGCTGAAGGATTCACACCTCATATAATGTTAATTAATATCCATTTTTGTAAAGGTTATTAAATCATCATGACAACAGTTGCCTTAGATAAATGAGCCAGGGTGAGGCTGGAGGAAGACTGTGAGTTAGGAATCACACTGGAAACAGGTGGGAAATGGAATTTTTAACTTTCTTAGTTTTCTTTCATTTCTAGTAGGTTTCAAATAAATATTGCCAAATATTGATGACATATAATAATGCAATTTTACATATTTTCCTACTGTTCCCCCTACTAAATATCCAGTAAATTCAACTTTATTTGCTGTTTATAGTTGCTCATGTGCTATCTTGGTCCTTTCTCAGCAATCATAATTTTTTTCCCCTCAAGGCTTAACATTACAACATACTGCTAATCACCTATTTTTACTAATGAACCATTCTTATGCAAACATCTAAAGTGTTTACAGTTTTGTTAATCTCCTGGCGTAATTCAAAGAAGTAGAGTTGATGCATTTTCAATATAGTATTGTCTACAGTGACATATTACATCATTATTCCCTAGCAGCGGAGTCTTATTCATCACTTGTTTTGTTATGTTAATAATAATAATGATTAAGTCATAAAATAATACAGTTCTTTAGTATTAACCAAGAATAAATTATATCTTAGTTACACAGTAAATAAGCTTTAATCTCCTTTAATTAAAGAAATGTGGTTAGCCTTCTTTTAGTACATATCCTTCTTTACTTTTACTGATAATCTATCCATAAATATTGAATAAGTTAGCCATACTCTTTCCACCTCCATAAACCAAATTTAGCAAATACAATAAACTAAAAACACTAGGATTATGGATAACCATATTTCAAGAGCTCCTGTTCCCTAAAGGCTGAGTGAACTTGAATTCACAAAGAATTTCTTTTAACTAAAGATCACAGCACAATACATTTTGAACAGAGACTCTCAACTTCACTTTTCATTAAAATATTCCTGTTCATTGTGATGAAGATTAGAACATTACTTACAATTACTTAGAATCAAAAGAATATATTATTATCACAGTAAAGAACTATCTAAAATTAAACAGACGATGGTTGCCAACACATAACTAAACCAGAGAGAAAGGAATCTGCCCATCTCACGAAGGGATATTTTAATTAAGCAATCTGTTCGAAGTATGTTGGGAAACCAAAACTCACTGATAAATTTGAGCCACTTTAGACTCTTGAGCCTGACTAGAGGTCTCTCCTCTCTCTCTCTGTGTCTCTCTCTGTGTCTCTCTCTGTCTCTCTCTCTCTCTCTCTCTCTCTCTCTCACACACACACACACACACACTATCACACATTCATATGTAATTGCCAGGAGGTTTCCTTCCCTATTGTCAAGGATTAAAGCTTCAAAGACTATTGTTTTCCAACTTTCTTTTATGTTTTCTTTTGAGATTTTAATGAAAGCTTGGAAGCAGGATTGGCATGCACTTCCAAAATAGCTTGCCTCCAGAAACTCTATGAACCTGGAGAAATGATGAAAATTATGCAAGTGTTCAGGTCTTTAGTTTGTAGGGTTGCTATGAGTTGTCTAAGATTTGATGGCACTTAACAACAACATATTCCTTTTAAGTCGTTCTTTCCCTCATCTGTTTCAATGCAACATACATTATTTAATCCGCTCTTTTCTTAGTTTCCCCAAACCCTGATGTCAGTTCTGTTTTATCACAGTGGCATTATGCAGTATTTGTCTTTTTGTAACCGAGATATTTCACTCAGCATAATGTCCTCCAGAGTCACCATTTTGTAAATATTTCATGAGGTGGTTTTTTTTCAATGCCACGTAGTATTCCATTTGTGACTATGCCAAAGCTTCTCTAACCACTTGTTTGTTGGTGGGTCAAACACTTTTTCTGTAATCTATGTTAGTTAGCCTTTTGACTAATGTCTAATGTATGAAATGTTTTCTGAAAATATTTCAGAAAATATTATTTAAGATAAATAAGATTATCCTAGAACATGTTATTGCACAAAATAAAATTATTTCCAAATAATTTGAAACAAATACTGAAAAGGAAGAAGAAAGGCCAACTTTAATAGGAACTATCACTCATAATGACATGACTACCTGAGCATGTAAAATGAAGTAATTTAGTAAATGGTTATAATGAGTTATGTTCTCAAAAATACTTAATGATGAAAAATTGTTAACACATCAAAAATATAGTTATAATATAGAATTGTGAGACAAACATTCTTAAGAACAAGAGCTCTACTAAGAAGAATAAATACTTATAGATAAGAATGCTGCTCTTGCTGTTGTATGATGTTAAGTCAGAACCAACTAAGAGGTGACCTCACAGCTTTCAAAGGCAATGATTGCATGGAAAGACACTGCCCTTGTTTCTCCCATGGAGCAGCTGGTGGATTAAAATCTTGTACCTTTGAGCTAGCACAGCTCTTTATCACTCAGCCACCAAATCTCTCTAATATATGAAAAGGGAAAGAAAAACGAGATATGGATGCTCAATACATTGACTACCACAATGAGCTGAAGCATGATGAAATTGTGAGAATGGCAAGGATAGGGATGGGTTTTGACCTATTATGTTCATAGGATCTTTTTTGAGTCAGAACAGTATTGATGGTTCATGATGACAATCAATATATTCCTAATGATTCTATTAGACCAGCTCAATATGGCAGTGTGTAATATAAAATTAGAACTGTAAAATTTAAAGGACAAATCATTCTAGGGAAAACACTCATTGAGATAAAAAAAAACATTAAAAATTGACCTAGCAATTTAAGCTTAGTCATAAAATATTTCTTAAGCAGTTGATCAACACTTCTCCTTTGAAACAGCCTGGGAAATGTGCCAGCGCTCTTAGCCCCAGCAAAGAATGGAGGGCTGATAATCACGGACATTTAACCTCAAGGAGTCTGAGGCAAGTGTTTGTTTTTGTTTGGGAACTAGTATCATTATTCCAATCTCCGAAAGGTATGAAAGCATGTGCATTAGGAAAAGATTAACTATTACAGTATTACTCAGAAGGCAAAAGAACAAGTAGAGAATTAAGGAAATGAAAGCAGTAATTATATCTACAGGATTGTTTTACAATGGAGTTCAATATAGTTACACATTTGGAGTAATTGTATTTGTGTATGTGTTCTTCATATTTTTAGAGCCAGTTCCACTTTTTTGTACATTCATGATATTGTGCCCAGAGTTTGTATTAACTACTTCAGTTTAATAATTTAAGGAACAGACAAAGGACAAATATTCTGAGTGTTCCTCTTGGTATTAATCCATGAGAACAGTCATTTTAAAAGAAAAAAACAAAACAAACAAAAAAAACCACAACCCAACCAGAAGTCCACACATGATTGCCAAAAGCAGCTAGACCATCAGTGACCAAGACCATTTGAATAATGTGTACTGGAAGAGGGAGGAGGAGGTGAAGAATGCCCTTCTCTTTCTGTTGTGTGCAGTGTGTGCCAATAGATATTTATTTAACATCCATCAAGCATGATTTGTGTGCTTATTTGGTAGATAGAAACCTGAACTTTCCACATATATATAAATAAAGAAGACGAAAACATTTAAATATACACATATGAAAAATAGATAAAACTGTAAGCATTTAAGCAGTCAAAGATGAATATAACTGAAATTGGCTCAAGAAATCACTCATGCAAAGAACAGCTGCATCATTGGAATCCTTGGGAATGATCTGAAACCAAAAAGAAGACTGACAGGCTAACTTCAAAACATCTACAATGTAACAAACTCTAAATCTAAAGCTTGGTAGCCTAATAAAGAGACTTAGATGTTTAAGACAAGACACAAAATCACTTACACATTAACAATTTGTAAATTTCAGTGAAGTAATTTTAAAGCATTAGAAAGCACAGGAGATAGGGAGTCCAAGTGCTAATTCAAAGATGACATTTCTCTTGGGGTTCAAATCCAACCACACTCTGAGGAGAAAAAAGAAAGGCAGTTTCCTCCTGGACAATGTATTATCTCTGAAAACCCACTGGAGGCAGGGTCTCTTTTCCCACTTGACGGCAAAGGGTATGAGTTTTGACAACTGTGAAAGAAGGTACTCTAGTGGGCCAGTGATTACAGAACTTGCCAGCGAACTGAAACCAACAACCACTTGGCAAGAGAAATATTTATTAGTTTGCTTGTTATAAGAATTTATGCTTTATAAACCCTATGGGGCACTCATTGTCATACAGGAGAGCTAAGAGTCAAAATGGATATGTCAGCAGTGAGTCTGGAATTATAGAGCAGTATTTTCAGATGTTGGCAATACTGTATGTCATTGTTTCTTACCTTGTCTGGTTTAAGCTCAATGGTGATGAAGCATTTTGTTTGACCAGTTATACAAGTCGTGGTCCCTGATATGGACATAAGCTGATCAATCAGATTCACACCATCTTTCTGGAGTATAACAGTGGTTTTGTTGAAAGAGACTCGCCAAAAGACCTTGACATCTTCAAAGGCCCTAAGAGCAAACCAAACACATACATTCAGTAACACATTGTACTTTCAGTATCTAGTGGTACGTCTTCACCCAAAAGATAACACTTAAGTTTATTAATGATAATAACGAAAATGACCAGGTCCTCACACCTTATTAAAGTTAAGAAAATGGAAGCATTTCTGTGGTATGCTTTGACCTTAAATTTTTATATATGGAAAAGTACTTACTATAGTATGTATCATACATCACGATTGTTGTTAAGTGCCGTTGAGTCGTAGGCGACTCCTAGTGACCCTATGGACAAAAGTCCTGAATACCTGTATAACTTTCATCCTTTCTCCAGATTCATGGGGTTTACAGAGGCAAGCTATTATGGAAGTGGATGTCACTCCTGCTTCCAAGCATCATGATTATAAAAGTAAATAATACACATTTCCTGCCTCACATGTATTTAAAACTTTTAAAATCATAATTATAGTGAACACTTGCTTTAAAGTAAATGTTTCTAATTTTTTACCAAGAATTTTTCTAAAGAAAACTACTATAAAAATGGGTTGTTACTGTAAAGGAAGTAGGCAAGGGTAACTTACATTTTCTAAGAATATTTATATACAAAATACAAAAGTTGAAATCCGTGTATGTATACACACACACACACACACACACACACACACACACACACACACAAGTGCAGATAGGGGATAAGCATTCAGAAGACCGGTACTAGAAGATACTATTCTGAAAATATATTCCAAGTCTGTCTCACAGTAAGATGGCTGAGTATTTAGGATGATTGGGAAAAACAATGAAGTGACGACTTACATTATAACATATCTGGCATTTGTAAGGGTATTTTTATAAAATACTAGAAGTTGAAGATAGCCCTAGTCATGATCATAAATCAAATATCTTAAACCACAAATTAAAAAATAATGAATCTGAGTCCTGGCATAGCAAATCTCCTTTTCTGTCAAGTTGGCATTTTGTCTCTACCTTATGATTTGTAATTAGATAATGAGTGGACAATACATGTGACTTAGTGGAAAGGAACTGCTTTGCCAACATAAAGGTATGCAGTTCGAATCCACAAGCTGCTCATTGCGAGAAAGATTTATAATCTCCTATCGTGTGATTATTGCTTTTTGAAAACTCATAGGAGGGTCAGCTGTGAATTGGTTTCAACTCAACAGTACAAAAAAAAACAACAACAGCAATAAGCTATGTGCAATTAGATCAAGAACAATGTGGAGATAGCCAAATCCAACCTTTAGTAACTCCACAAGGGGTAAATGTCCCCATAAATAGCATATACAACCCAAAATTAAATTCCAAGAGGTCAGACATGCCCTCCTACACACCTTCACCTACTTACTGGGCTCCAATTATGTTGCAGTGACCACCCATTTCACAGAACCATACTCATGGTTATAAGCTTTATTAGGGAAGATAATAGGCTATAATTCAGGTTAAAAGCAAGATACAAGGCCTCATTCCAAAGAGTTTCTCAGTTAACAGCAGAATAAAATATATATTTTATATCTAATGTTAAAAAAGGACATCATGCTTGGAAGTGTGGTGGGTCAGTGCAGAAAAGGACAATCCTGGGTAAGGTGGATTGACATAGAGACTGTGGCAATGAGGACAGGTGTGTCAGAGATGGTGAGATTGGCTTATATCAGGGTTCATAGGGTCACTATGAGGCATAATTTACTCAAAAGCAAGTAATAAAAACAGTAACAACCTGTATATGTACATACCTGTTTGGCTGCCTTATGACAATAAGGTTTAGACTTCTCTTATTAGCTCCTTCACTCAGTTTTAGTCCACTCTGAGATTCCTCACTGAATCCTAAAATGCCATTCTGGAGATCATTCCCTTGATGTAAAAAAAAATAAAATCACAAAAATAGGGTTATAATTACAAATGTAAAAGATCTCTGTTGTTTCATTAAACTCTCCAGTTCAAATGGTGCAGAGGTGATAAACTGAGTGAGAAGGGTGGATGGCTACAATTTATAAAGATCTCTACTAAAAATAAACAAGAATCAAAATGATAATATATTAGTTTGAAATAGGGAAGATCCTATCTTCCTAAAGACATCATACTTGGTAATATAGAGTCAGTGGAGAGGGAAAGACCCTCAAAAGGCAGACTAACAAAGTAGCTTCAATAATGGGTTTAAACATAGTAACGATTGCAAGAATTGCGGAGGAGCTCACAGCCTTCATTCTGTTGTACATAAAGCTGAAGCAGCAATCTCCAATTTCATATGGAATGGAAAAAAAGCCCCGAATAAGCAAAGCACTCCTTAATAATAGAAGAACGGTAGGAGGTATCTCACTCCCTGATTTCAAATCCTACTACACTGCCGTAGTGGTAAAGACAACATGGTACTAGTACAATGA